CGATGTGAGCATAGGGTGAGTTGCGATAAAAACGAGCTATGATCATTTTTAAAAGAGTCTTTATTCAAATCACGTAAAAAAGGTACAGAGGTGCAGGACGTTGATTTACCGTTAACATATTTATTATTTCAAATATATAAAATTTGTTACAGAATTTTCATATTTAAATTTAAATATTTCAAAAGAATAAGAAAGATATGGCCAATGGAGGGGTATAGACCTATTAGCCCCCCTTTGGCTACTCCACTGCCCACACATGCGTGCGTATCATTAATATTAGATATATAAACAAATTTTTATTGTTCATTATTAGATATAAACATTTAAAGATTCAAATTTCTTTGAGTTAATATACATGTATAATATATAAGGGATTACAAATACAAGTGATTAAAATCACTGTCGTAAGAAACGCTTCGATGCAAATCTGTAGATAGTGTTTCATTTAGAGAAGTTGGTGGATTATTACAAAAGCAACATTAACTCTTATTTCTTTGATTATATCCTAATTAGTAGGTCTTTGATTTTAAAACATAATATATGAATAAATACTAATTATTATTATTAAATTTAGTATACAATTGATATCCAGTAATTTAATATTGTAATTTATACGGAGAAATTATAAAATAATGAAAAAGTTATATTTTGCTTTACTTTTACGTGTATAAAAATTTAAAGGGCTTGATACAATATTCTTCAATTAAAATTGTTTGTTACTATAAATAAATGCACTGGACTACAAGGAACTTTCATCAGAAGCAAAAATTTACTTTTCTAAATCAACTTTTTGCGATGTTTTATATGTGCAATTAGACTTTTTCTATCTAAATTTTAATATTATTAGTTATTATTAAGAACAAAAAAAATTGTTTTAAATTAATACTGATTTTGATTATTAATATGTTAAAAATAAGGAAAATGACATATTTAACCTATTTTTTTTAATCTTTTAAAGTTGAATTGTGTGAAAGTTTATAGTAAAAAATAAATTATTTATTACCATAACTTTTAGCTCAATTTGCAAGTTTGAAATTGACATCATTAAATAAAAAATTTTATGAGAATTAAAAAAAATGGATCATTAAGATTAATATGCGGTCAGGAAATTTTATAATTACTATTTATAGTAAATTTATCAGAGTAACTCAATATTTTTTTGCATTTTTATTGTAATAGATAACTTAAATAGAAATAATAGTAATCATTTTATAGTAACTTTTGGTGTTTAAGAAGATACTACAATTGAAATATGAACTGAATTAATTTTAATGTTTTACTTTAACTAAAATAACCAATAAATAGATACAAATTGTAGTCATTTAACATATTTTTGAAAAAAGTAGGTCAAGTTAAAGCAGGGATATAAATGATAGTCACAAAAAAATATCTTCTCAGCTTTGCATCGAAGCGAAAACTTAAAATATAGTAAAATAATTTTAATACGAATAAGAAATTTCTTCTTGCAAGGGGCGACTAAAATTATGGAATCCTTGATCTTTATTGAAGTTATTGAATCTAAATGAGATAAAAATCAAACGAGTTAAAAATTTATACTAACTTAAAAAGAATTAAAAAAAAAATGCAAAAAATCCATTGCCATACGCGGGTTGGAACCTCAACCCCAAGCGTGTAAAACACAAGTTTCACCAATTCGGCAACCGTACGTTGCTGCTAAAAATTGGCTATTTAAGCTTGTTCAAATTACAAAGTTGTTTTTCTCGACTTAAAAGAAGTAAACAAATTTAAATAAGTTTAACTTTCTATACTATATTAATTTTTTATTTATATAATATTTATGAAAATCTGTACTCCCCTTGTCAGGTATTTTAAAATAAAATAAAATACAAAACCCAGAATTTTAACACAAAAATAGCAAATTTTT